CAATTATACTGAAGACAATATGCTGTAAAGATTAGAGAAAAAAGGATACGAACAACAACTTTCATAATTATGATAAATATTATTTCATTTATTTTGATTATACTCAATTAGGAATAACAGTTTACAACGATAATCATCAAGATTAATATTGTAGAGACATTATCGTTAATCTCGTCTGTCATGCATTACATAGGTCGTCTTCGATTTCGATCTTAAATATTCTTGAGTCGGTGTGTAACTGCTAGTTCTCGATGACGACACAAGCTCATATTGTCCATATTCTATCGACGGTAATTGACTGAGCTTGGTCGATGAATAGTATGCGGTATAGATGAAATACGATTCTCACCTCTTGTCTCCTAGAAAATCTTCTTTTTTTTCTAGTGGAACGAAATGAATTCAGTTCGGTTTGGCACCAAAACATAGACAGTCTTCACAGATGTTATCCTTCACAATTCGAACCAAGGTGGGTGTGGGTGTAATTAAAGGGATTCCAAGACCTCCCATACTCACACATCCGCAACTCACTCATACCTACACTTGGCTTTGATAAGCATTACTGAAGAAGAATGAAATTCTTCAGAAATAAAGCGTATACCTCACTGTAGATGTCAGTTATCTGAAAACGTTTTGGTTATAAATTTTTACTATACTAATCTCAGCTTCTAATTGTTTTATACTCGAGATAGATACACTTGCCAAATCATTATAGTTTTCGTTAATCTACTCATGACACATCTACATTGAACTATAAGAATAGAAGACATATTATTTGTTTATCATTTCTTAACTTGATAAGGTTATATTTCGAAAGTCAAACATTGTTTTTATTGTGTGAATTATGAGTCCAATTGACTATTCAGAAGTGTACAAAATAATTTCAAATATGTAGAAAGTATCACATCTATATTGATTTATTTCTTTTAACTATTGAATTTTACTTGAAAATCATCGAAAAAAGTTGCAAAAAATTCGTGAAAAGAAATATTTCTGACTAACACAGTTTTTTCTTCGTCTCAACAATATATGTACTTTTAATATGTAAATCCTATCGATTTCTTCTCGTGGGTAATCCTTCATAATTTTTAATATTGATTCAAATTGTTTCTGTTTGTCATAGATACGACCAATATTCGTATGATAATCAACTAAATCCAAGTGATTGATTATTAAGCATTTCTTATCGACTTCTAATGCTTCCTTCAAATATTCAAGTGCTTGTACATCGTTGTTCATTTTTTCACGAATAATACCTATCGCATTCAATATTGATGCTATTGAATAATATGTTAGTGGTGGTAATCGTTGCATTTTATTCTTCAAAACTATTTCAAGATTTTTCAAAGCATTTGTATTATCACTATATTCTGTTTGAATTTTCGCTTTGAAACTCTCCATTACAGCTAGAAGTAATGAATTCATTGATTGTGAAGAATTGAACAACTTCTCTTTGGCTTGTCTTTGTTGTTCATCTGCGTTTCGATTATCTCCTAATTTCAAATAAATCAAACTAAGCCTACAATGAATAGCAATAACTCGAGAACTGTCATAACAACTTAATTGAGAATAAATCTTAAGAAGTTTCTCAAAACATTTAACAGATAACTTTAGATGATGAGTATCTTTATAGACAAGACTAAGTAAGTTGAAAGTATTTCCAATTCCTCTATCATTCAGCTTCATCAAATTTATTTATTTGACAAAGAAACCAACAGCTTAATAATAGATCTGATTCTGATCCAGTTTGTTTCATCATGTGATTCAAAAGATTTTGAATAAATTCGTTTCTCATTTATTCTCGTTTGTTCAATTTCATCATCATGATAAATTGCTCGAGATTCATCAATCATTCTAGTTTTTGCATTAACGTCTTTTGGCATTAATCGAAAAACTTTCAATATTAACTGATATCACATAAATGGTGCACTCTCTCTTTAGTTAATTGTTATAATGTATTTTCTTTTTTCGCAAGATGAAATATATTCATTGATAAATCACTATTTGTATTGCATACACCAACATTATCACGAATTTTATCTAATAGTGCTAGGTTTTTTTGTGAATATACCAGAGCCTTTTGCATTCATACTTCTATTACTCATTGGTTTTTTACAATATATGTATACCGCTTGTATATATGATATTTCATATATAAGTGATACAACATGTTGACCAAGTGCATTAGAAGCAATAAGAAATACTCGTTTTGTTATCAACTCGTCGGTTATATGATCAATACATTGATCCGGATCATCAAATGCTAGTAAACGACCTGTAACCGATTGTCATATATATGCTTTGTGTGCGTGCGACTACGAAAATAAACTCACTTTGATTGCTTTACCTTCACGTTTTTTATTTGTTTGCTTTTTTTTACTCTTTTTTTTCTTCTGTACTTTCATACGATTTCTTCTAAAGGAAATAGTAGGATTAGATTATATTTTCGTGAGGATTAGTTTATCATATAAATAGAAATTTGCATGGACCTGTATGATATTCCACTTTTGTGTGGACTTTTTATTTGTTTTTGCTTTTTTTTTGGGTCTATATTTTTCAATTTTGACGTGTTTTCGTTCTTCATCAAGAGATTTTTTTCTCTTTTCTTCATTGAAAATTTCCAATTCTTGATGTACTCATTGGTTTATTATGCAGCTGTTGTTTTTGTAATGTACAGGATGACAAGCGAGTTTAGTTTGACATACATAAAGTTTCTTTCTTTTAAACTTCATAAATAATCTACATTCAGACAAAAACACATCCTCTGATCTAATAGTTCCCATGTATATATATATGACGCAATTGATACATTTTCATTCTTATTCAATTTCTTAATAATGGAAAAATATAAATATATATTTGTCATACGTAAAATGTTCAAAAGATTCTCAAGCTATATAATTAGTTTTGTATAAAAGCAAAAAAAAAAGAATAATAGTTGTAATAGTAGTGGTGTCTCTACATGGTTCATATAATTCTCTAGAGATATCATAAACTGTGCTCTGTTCAACATGTATATGTGAATATTAGAGTATTTTTCTTATAAAACCTATAATTTTGGTTCAATTTGTTTTGAGCAATAATTCATTCGAAATAACATTGAAAACTGGATTGACAGAGAACACCCGAAAAACTGACTTTGTTTTCTTTTCATTTTAGTTGCATATCTATGCAGAACTCCTTTGGTAGTACTTTTCATTGATACGAAATTTTCACATTGGTATGCAGTATTTAGCAAAATTCTAATCATCATGTAGATACACACAAATAACACTAACATTTACATGCAAGTGTTTGCAAAGATAAGAACTATGCATGATCTATGTAATATGTTTTATCTAAAAAGCTAAAAAATTGTGATTGCATGCGTGTACTATTGCTTTTGTATTTATGCAGGTGAAAGTATTGGTGGAGCTACCGAGAGAGAGAGAGAGACATAGGAAAGAGGGAAAGAGTGTCTAATCTCCAGCATCTAAGGACTTAATCTGCCTACTTAGTAGCAAATTACTTTGACCTTGGTAGAATGAACTCTCAAACCAGGTGGGTTTCAGCAGGTGGAATCTTTCAACTACCAAAATCCATGCAAAAAAGTACACATATCAAAGTATCGAACTATGTCTTTATCTCAAAAATCGATTTTTTTTTTAAGGGAAGAAGAAATGCTTAAAATATTGTAGTGTTTTTTAATCTTATTGTTCAGTCTCTGTTTACATATAATCTACATTTCTAGTATACCAGACTGAAAATATTCATCGCTCGATATCTTTAAAATGATTTTAATGAAGTCAAACTATTATTTTCCCTAATGAATTAACTTTTCGATTAATTCGTTCAATATTTTATTTGTGTATGGAAGACAGAATATTCATAGATTTTATTAATCAATAATCGAATAAAATCTGATCATGATGTTTAGTGATAATTTCATTAATCTATTCAAAATCAAAATATAATTCATGTTTGTCATAGTAATAGAAATATACAAAAATGAATTTTTCTACACAAAAATAATTTTTAAATTGTAAAAGAAAATTCTTTTTTTCGAAATTGAAACAATTTGTGACGAACCTTAGATGTTTCATACATTATGAAAGATTTATAATCAAAATTAATATATTTTACTTGTAATCATAGTGTCAAAAAGTTTAAAACATTTCAAAATTTAACTTCATTGACTATTTATTTTACGAAACGAGATATAGTACTAACTGTTTGTTTAGGTTTTTCTTCCAATAAAAATATTTATATTTATAGTACGATTTAATTTTTATTGATATGTTGGATTCAATACATATGGGGTGAATCGTATTCTATTTGTACAATTGCAACATCGCTACTAAATCTCAAATATATCTTGTTCGAAAGATTCGAGTAACTTGAAGAGTGTAGATGTGGGTTAAATAACAAATAACAAGATATAATTGATTTTAGTGTCTAATCTTTCTTTTTTTTAATATTCTATTTCATTTGAAAACTTTTGAAGTAGTATTTTTTTTTAATCTATAGTATTTTAATCAAACAGTTTATATTTATTGTTGATGCTCTCAATTTCTATCGAAATAGTTGAAACGTCTAAATTAAAATAGATACTATAATTAAACATCCATATAAACTGGATTGAAAAGGCAGAATGAACTCAATAAATTATTAGATGTTTTAATACTGTTCATTTTTATAGAAGTTTTCAAAAGTTAATTTATAGAGATGTAGCAGATATTGAGAAAGAATAGTGTATTTCGCTCTTCAGATCTATAGAAGTCTATAAGAAAATGAAGATTCAAAAGATTTAATTCTCATTTCTAAGAATATTTTCTTTTGTAAATGATAAAGAACTGTTGAAAAAGAAAATGAAAATAATTTTTTTTTTTTATTAAATATATTCTGATTTATAAAAATCAAAATGTAAACAAGTTGTTAGTGAAGAAAATATTCACAATCACACCTATACTTTTTATTTTTAATACCATCAATTAATTAATTATTATTTGACGACACACTTTTGTTTAAGTTCGAGGTATGCCATGTTTTGTGACTATTTCCATCATCTTTTGATTGTATTCGGTGATGTTCGTGTCATATATCGAACCCATTTCTGATGAAAAATGAAATGAATGAATGAAGAAAGAAGAAAAAACAAAATGTCAAAGAACTCACCAGCATCGACTACATGACTTCGTTCAGGTTTATCGATAAGATCGATAATAAGTATTACAACATTAGCCAACGGAATTCCATCCCATTTTTTTCCTGCATCCAAACGAGCACTACAAAGTTTGCCTATATATGTAAAAATTAAAAAGAAAGAGAATGATTATTCGAATAGACTTGAATGACTATGATAATTCATGGAAGCTCTTTTTACTTTTGATTGTTTTTGAATAATACAGAAAAATAAAGTAACTTGTTCTAGTTTCACTCACCATTTTTCTCGATATTAGGATGACGAATGCTGGTTCTCATATATACTTCTGGTGGTTCCTGTGGATATGTAAATGGCACACGTATTTCTACTTCCAGAAGATGTTTTTTGAACGGATCCGTTGATGGATATATTAATCCGACAATAATAAAAAACTTGGTCTGCATTGTCGAGGCAGTCGCAACATTATTTGATTGTAATGAAGATAATAATTCTGGATTTTCTATAGAATTATCTTTGACACTGAATCTCTTCGATGTTGCATCATGGCTCTCAGCCCAAATTTTGAGATCAGTATATAGTCTCCATATACGTTTTGATGAATCCGAACTCATCATCGAATGAATGATTGTAAAAACAATCTGAAAAACCGAAACAGACCATAAAATATTGCTAATCAGACTTACTTAGTTGTCGTATTTTATGTGAAAAAGTCTGAATTGTCTGTTCTTTCTTTCTTTCTTTTTTTATTATATATTTTTGCTTACTGTGTGCATTGATGAATATATCATCGTTGACTCTTTCTTTTATGAAGCAAGTTAAAAAAAAAACAAGAAAAAAAAAGTGCGTCTATGAATTACTTGACTCAAATATATGCGTTGGAAAATTCCAAGACATCGTTTAAGTTGCTCCAAAGATAGCGACGTAAACAGAAAACTTTTCAAGCAATAGGTAGGCGGTAGGAAAGTTCTTCCAAGAAAGGTAATTAGATGATTTGATGCGGGGGGGAGGGGTAACAGGTGTGGATAAGGGTGCTAGTGTGAGAGAAAAGAAGATTAAGAATGTACATACCTTTATCTCTCACAAAACTACATGTACATCTAGCACCATTCTCCAGAAAGGCACGGTATATGATTGAAGTCAGAAATAATGTTTTTTCCAAATATGTCAGTACTCCACATTCAATCTTACTGATTGTAGAAAAATAATTATTCCAACTTATTTTTTTTTTGGCATTCTTTTCGCCTTTTTCTTTCTTACTGTCGTCAGGATGATGCAAATAAAAAAGCAGCCAAGACTCATGCACTTGTTTTTTTTCCAACAATCTCAATGACTCACATTTTATCGTACTCACTACAGAAAAATAATCATTCAAACGTGCGCTCTTTTTTTACGTTCTTTTCATATTTTTTCTTCTTATCGTCATCAGTTATGATGCTTGCTGTGTAAAAAATAATCAGCAAGGATGATATATACTGTGTTCTTAAAGTTTTATTTCATGTAACTTTATTAATGACAGTTGTTGAAAATTATACCACGGAACTGAAATGCATTAGTTCACTGTTTTCAAAAATTTGGAAAGAATATAACATAGAGTTACCTATGAAATCATTTTGCTTTCTTTCTCGATCGTTATTATCAACACAAGCTAGTTGTTAGTAAGTAAGTGGCAAATATTGTATTGTATGTATTTCTATAGAAAACAAATTCGAGGGATATCAAGTTCATCGAATAGAATTCTCATGATGAATCTATATGTTAGAAAAAAAAAATGTTTTCTTGAAGTTGATATCTTTCATTGTCGATGAATGAACAAGTTTCATTTTTATTGAAACATTAACTATGTTTGATCGTAATTGTGTAAGCTTGTGATTAAAACTTTCCTACAGCCTGAACATATCATGTCACGTATACTTTTGCAAACAACATAGTTTCATCGATTTATCGCATCTATCATAACTGTAGTATTTTCAGAACCATAGACATTTTATCTGAAATATGCTGAATAAAACTTTAACGACTATAAAATCAAATTATAGAAAAACATTATGATAATCACTTAAACTCCTGAGGGATTATTCGTAATTTTTTTCTCTCATTCAAACTTTTACAACATTCTATATTTATTTTCAGAACTCATTCGATACAATGACTCTTCCACCGATAACTATCATCTGGTGTGATATTTCTTTCGAAAATAACAATAGCTACCAGTCAATGAAAGATGAATTCAACGAGACAACTACAGCTACACCGAAAAAAGAACTGGATGCCATCGATATGGCGATTTTCAATGAAGCGATAGAACAGCTACGTTCGAACGATGTACCACTCGTCACTGTTCGAACGCCTGATGATGCAATTAAACAGATTGAAAAATACAAAAACAATAAAATTTTCGTCATCTGTTCGGGTACAATTGGCCGATATCTCGTGCCAGAAATCGTATGTCAATATCCTCTCGTACATAATTTCTACATCTTTGCTCACAACATTATCCTACATCTTGACTGGGCAGACAATTATTCACGTATCTTGAGAATGTTTAATTTTCCAACCGTCCTATTAGTTCGACTTACACGAGATATTTCTGCTTATTTTATTGAACAAGGAAAAATGTATTTGCAAGTTGATGCACCACAGAATGCGTTAACATGTTTCGATCATGCTCGAAATCTGGAAATACAAGCCAATGAACGAGATAAGGGAAAGTTAAATTCGAATACCAAGGAGCCAAATTGTTCACATATTGATTTTCGTGAACATCTCGATATGCTCGAAGGTGATGGTGGATTGATTTCTCGAGCTAAAGAAGCTGTCCGTGCAAAGGAATACTCTTTGGAAAATTCTTGAATTGAATCACTTCTACAAGGACTGAAACTGTATTATCGTTTTTTCCCCCCAATCTACTCTTGTTTAATCAAGATGTGAGTGAGTGTGATTGTTTGTAAAAAAAAAAGCAAACTTACATCCGCATTCTCTTATCTATAATTAATAAATACGGCATGGAATTTGAAATTAAAAAATGAATATTATTTATTGATAATTTTTGCATTGGAAAAGAAAAAAAAAGAGGATGCTGTCTCTCTTACCAAAGTTTCCGAGAGGCAAATGTCTTATTTTCTAAAGACAAGTTTGCTTCCTGTGGACATTAAATAAGTTCTACAAATAGTGATCTTTACTCTACAAGATGACATAAGAATGGAGAGTTTCTTTTTTTTTGATTGATCCGCTATAAAATGTAATTTTGCATTGAAAAGACGAAAATCGGTAAAATAGCCATTTTTTTTTCATTTATAGCTCAATATGCAAAAGTTACAGAAACATTCTAAACATATACTCTAATCCTAATACTTTATTTCTTACTCTTTTCCAATGCATTTGAATACAAGAAAGCTATTCAAGTATTTTATCTGAAAACTTTCACTCTACCTCTTATTCTTCATGAATATTTATGATTTTAATATTATTTCCTTTGAACTGTTTTTTTTTTGCTATCATTGTCGTTTTTGTTTCTCTCAAAATTATGGAACATTGAACCATTACATAGTGCTACAGTTTTAGCTTTATCAGAAAATCATTAAAACAACTCAATAGCATTTTCGATTGTCATTCTTATAGAGAGTTTGATGGCGCATTTCTTATCAAAAAAAAAATTCAACATTATAAGATTTACTAGCGGGAATCCATGCATACTGCACGGTTGCTTCCTCCTTTAACGTATGGCCTTAGACGTTTAACTTTTCATCCAGTAACAGACACCCGATATTAAGAATATAGATAGATAGCCCTACAACCTGATACTCGTATATCGCACATATCTTTATAGTCCAGGTAGCCTTCGGCCTTATAGTCTTATTTCCTTACTTTATCCTTTATTACCTACCCCCTTGCTGTCTTACTCCTTTGAGGACCTATGCATACCCCCATATAATAGTCCTTGAGGGCCTATGGGTACCCCCATAGGATAGCCCTTAAGGACCTATGGGTGCTCCCGTATAATAATCCTTGGGTACCCTAATATAGTAGCCCTTGGGCCTTCCGCTTATAGTCTTACTTGACCTTTGACCCGGCACAGACAGACAGATACTGAACATTATATATATACATAGATGTTTGTGTTGAGATATTTGCAGAATAGCAGATGTTGAAATCATTTTAATTCATCTAGTATATGCATTTTTACAGATCTTGGCAAATCAAGTTAAAAAAAACATCTCATTAAAAAAGTAATGCTTTTTATAGGGATTAATGAGGCCAATTTCAGTCCGAGCAAAAAATTCTTGTCAGCCAAGTCAAGAGTGCAGTTTTCGAATTATTAATTCAGAGAAATGATAATATATAGATTTAAGTTGAGCTATTTTTTGTAATATCTATTGATAAGCTTAATATGATATTTCTGTAACAGTTGATCATTGGGCAATGTCTAACTTGACTTGTTCATATGGAATAAAAATGAATTCACAAATACTATTTAATAATAATTTATTCTTTTTTATTTTTTAAATATAAAGATTTATTTTTGTAATCGGTATTTTTATCTTTATTATCCTGTTGTGCATATTTTATTTTATTTTTTTCTTTCGCCTGATCAATATGCAAAACAGAATTTTATCAAAACAACAGGATAAATGATAAAAAAAAAACAAGAACAACAAGACAAAGAAATAAATCTATGTTGATTTTGTTTGCGATGTTGTTGCTGCTGTTGTTGTTGTTGTTGTTGTTGTAAGTTGTTGTTGTTCTTCTTGAAGACGATGTTTTTTAAGTGGACCCATAAATATACGTTTTTCTTCATGTGTTTGAAATCGACCATGACCAAATTTCGATGATGTATCAATAAAACGTAATTCAATTTGTTCACGATGTGAACGTTTTGGATTAAGTATAAGTGATTTACGTAATGTTATTGGACGTTTCTTTGGACCAATACAACAACCTTTAATCATAATGAAATCTTGTTTAACTTCACCATAATGTGGAAAACCACCCTAAACAAAATAAAAATAAAATAGAAAGTTACATTTTTTTTATTATTAAATAAAATTTTATTTTACCATAGGATTAATTGTTTTTTCTGTTGGATCATGTTCTGTTGAACCTGTATTTTTAATTGTTTTACCATCTTTAACTTGTATAGCTTCACCAATACGATAAATTTTCTTATTAATTTCTGTACGATGATGATAACCTTTTTGACCAGCACGAGCAACTGCACGTGATACATGTGCTGGATGCCATGCACCAATACAAGCTACTTTTCTTAAACCTTTATGTGTTTTACGTGGTAATTTTCTTGTATGCCAACGTGATGTAACACCTTTAAAACCACGACCTTTTGTTACAGATATTGTATCAATCATTTCATCTTTTGAAAAAACTTGACTAACTGGTATTTGTTTTTCTAAATGTTCACGTGCAAATGTAACTTTTTGTTCAACTGTACCACCATTTAATTGTATTTCCATAATATGTGCTTTTTTTTGTCGTTTACGTAATAATTTCATTTGTGTATGTGCTAATACACGTATAACCTTACAATATTTTGTCATTTGTTTAAAATCATTATCAAGTGCTTTTTTTCCTGTATCATCATTCCATTTTTGTGAATATTTTGTAAAAGCTTTTCGTTTTGATGCATACCAATTTTTATAAAAACGACGACGACATTCTTCATTTAAATGTTGAGCATAGATTGTTTTATATGCACGAAGACCACGTGGTGTTACAATATAACCAACAACACCAACAACAATCATAGGTGGTGTTTCAATAATAGTTACAGCTTCAACTGTTTCCTTTTTGTTTAATTCTAATTTAAATAAAAACAAATCATTTTTTTAAGAGTTTTTTTTTTTTGAAAAAACTTACTTGAAGCTGGTCGATCGACTTCACGTACGATATGGGTCATACCTACATACATGAAAAGAAAAAAAAAAAAACAATTAATTTTCAATGAATTAAATAAAATAAACTAACCTGCTTTATAACCAAGAAAAGCCGTAAGATGTACCGGTTTTTTTGGATCATCTTTTGGAAATGATTTTACTTTTCCACGATGACGACGTGCTCTCTTCTTGGGTAAAAATCCAAGATTACCATGTCGTGGATGTTCAAATTTTCGATGACTCATGAGACTTGAATATATCTATATTTATTATGATGATGTTCGATCTAAAAAAAACTAATATAATTATATAGATATTCACAATAGAAACATAAAAATCGAAATGAATTAATACAAGTCAATCCAGATAAACAAATTCAATGAAATGGTTTTTATTGGAATTTGGAACTTAAATAAATCCACTCTATTGACGATCATTGTAAATAAATAATCATTTAAAATTATATTACAAAAAACAAGTCAAATTAGAAGTTTTATTGAGATAAATATTTGATTGAGAATCTTTTTTTTATTATTATTATATATTCAAATTCATCAACAGATGACGCTAATATCTAGAACAAGTGAATAGAATTACTATGAGTTATTATGAGATTCTTTTCAATCAATGTTCATTCAAGTACAAACAGACTAACAAGCTTGTTAACTTGCCTGGAATAGATATATGTCCTGTCTTTCTATTCTCATATTCGGTGGAGTAACGGATGACCCTTAGTGAATAATTGGTTTTTGTAGATCTGTTTTTAAAAACAAAATATAACACGAGACCGTGAATTTCTGGTAGATTCTCGCTAGAAAACTCTGGAAAATGGTAGGAATTTGGAAGCAGGAATCCGATGGTTGGATTTTTCTAGTTCTGAGCAGAGCCAATCACTGAATCTGCTAATCGAATTCCTGCTGCCAAGTGCCTGAGTTCTTCTGTTGGTAATTGAATATATTTCTGGACCTGGTTTGGCATATTGTGGCGTCTATATTATAAACAAACACAAATGCCTGTCGAAAGAGTGTTGATTTCAATGTTTTGTGGATTATTACGTGTGCCTCGCTATTATCAATCATATACAATGAGATAAAGTGAAAGACTATTCGTCTTCTTTGAAAACAAAGCTTGCATATATAAAGTAGGATTTATTATTATAACTTGTACAACTTTCTATGCTGCCTCTTGTAATGTAATTTTTTGTTTTGAATAAATATACCAAGAAATAGAAAAAGTAAAACAATATAAAATCGGCTATTCATTATGAATCACCGATTATCTATACTTTTGAAAGATGAGAATTTATTGTTCTTTATTACTTTGACAAGACAAAACTATAATTAAAAATAGATTGTAATTACATTGTTCGTTGTCTATTTTTAACGAGTGATACATGAAAGATGAATCTACATGTTTATCCTTTTACGGCACTTCATAACATACTAAAAACTTGATTTTAATCTTATTCGATAGCGAAATCTTTTTGTACTACAAAACTATTTTCTTAGCGTCATAATATTGAAAAGAGTGATGCCTATTGAATTGTTTAATTCAAAATAACCTCAAACTTCTCATTAGTAACTCTACCTCCTGAAACATATAAGTATCCAAAAAAAAACACTGGGAGATGTTAATTTTCAGACTAACAACACTAGTAACCTTAAAAATCTCGTGACAGTATAAAGTTCTCATTTGATTGATGCTCAATGATGTGTTAATCTTTTTACTTTAATGTCAATAAGAAAAAAAAGTCAACAGTTTTGTAGCGTTTGAAAATGCTCTAAAGAATGAGCCTAAAAAATCAAGTTTTTAATATTTTGGAAAATGCCTTAACAAGCAGAGAAAAACGTTTTGATCCATTATTTGTTTCGCTAAATTATTGCCCATACTTGGTAATAGGTTGTCATTATTATCCTGCATGAATCGTTGACTAATTCTTATTATTTTCTGATTGTATATACACAT